AGTCTGGAGTCTAAGGTGTGCCTGATCCAGGCCATAGTCTTTGCAATTACTTGCTATGAATCACAGAGTTTGACAATGACTAGGGATGAGAGGAGGAGAAATGATGCTGTTGAGCTGTGGTGCTCGAGAAGAGTACTGAATATATCATGGATAGCTAGGAGCACAGATTCATCCTAGAGAGGGTGAAATCAGGCTGCTCCTCGGAGGCAAGGATTCCGTCTGACATACTATGGGCATTTTGCAAGGATGGACCAGTCCTCGGAGGGGGAATATCATGCTTGAGAGGATGGAGGGAGAGCACAAGAGAGAAGGACCCTCGATGAGATGGAGTGATTCAGTGACTGGGGTAATGGGGGTAGGTATGTCAGAGACAAGAAAGGTCTGCACAGGATAAAGCAGGGATTAGGGCTATTGTACATAGGGTCACTATGAGTCCCAGGAGACACGATGGCATATGACAAAAAAAAAAAAAAACAAGCTCAATGAAAGTGGGTGCTTCTGATAAACTCAAGAGGAAGGGATGAGAGCGTTTGCTAAACAATAACATTGTCTATCATGCATTTTCAATTGAGTTTTCCATCAGCACTGTTCTTTTTGATGTGTTAACAAGTTTTCAAAATCAACAAACTAACTTTGTCTCACATATGTTAGACATATTGTCAGGAAAGACCAGTCTCTGGAAAGAGACATCATGGTGGGAAAGGTGGAGGGTCTGAGAATGAGAGGAAGACCATCAACGAGACAGACCGAAACAGAGACTGTAACAGTGAAGAGATCTGAGATTGTGATGATGGCACAGGGCAGGGCAAGGTTCAGACCTGTTGTTCATAGGGTCACTATGAGTTGTATTCTACTTGAAATCATCAACTACGATATTCCCTAAAATGTCCACACTAGCAGGATTCTTTCATTTCCAGGGTCAGAATACAGTTAAACTAGTTTTGTGACAAAGCCATTTTACTGACTTGTGACAGAGTGGGAAGCCCAGGGCACAGGCGCTTGCCTGATACATGTCCTCAGGGCTGGGTGGCTCTCTTTCCTCTGCTCATCTTGATAAGGTGGTCCTTATCCTCTACAACTCAGACAGCCCTCCCACATCCCTCTCCTTTAGCAAAGGTCTCTTGTGGAAGAAATGTCTCTGTCACCTGCATGTCACTCCCAGAGGGGCCTATTCTTCCCCTGCCTCAGGTAGTACTCACCCCTAGGCTTATCTCTGTGTCTAGAATGGACTCCCATGGCTGGCCGGATCTGAGTCATGTAGGACTTGACAGCACCTAACAACCACCACTACCACCACCACCACCACCACCACCACCACGACCACACGACCACCCACCTCAGACCTCAGAGACAAAAGACTGTTAGTACAAAAAAAATCAGGGGGAACCTACCATAGCTAAAAACAAGGGCTACTTTATTTAGTTTAATTCTTCTTTTCATACAGAATATTTCATTATATATTTATGGTGAGGTAAAAACTTGTTGTTATGTGACCCTATGTACAACAGCCCTAAACTCTGCTCTGTCCTGTGCCAACTGCACTGTCTCTGACACTCCCATCCCGATTACCACAGTCACTGACTCAGTCCACCTCATAGAGGGTCTTCCCCTCCTGCGCTGTCCCTCCACCCTACCAAGCATGATGTCCCTCTCCAAGGACCGGTCCCTCCTTACAATATGTCCAAGGTATGTTAGACGGAGCCTTAGAATCCTTGTCTCCAAGGAGTCCCCAGTTTAACCCTTTCCAGAATGAATCTGTTTACCTAGCAGTCCATGGTACCTTCAATACTCTTCTCCAGCACCACAGCTCAAAGACATCAATTCTCCTTCTATCCTTAGTCACTGTCTAACTCTCTGATGCATAACAAGTGACTGCAAAGACCATGGCCTGTATCAGATGCACCTTAGTCTCCAGAGAGATATCGTTGCTCTTCAGTACTTTGGAGAGGTCCCTAACAGCAGACTTTCCCATGGCAATACATCTTTTAATTTCCTGGCTACTGGTGCCGAGCGTGTTGACTGTGGAGCCAAGCAAACTAAAGCTGTGAACAATCTCAATCTCTTCACCATCCATCCTGATGCTGCTAATTGGCCCAGTGGTGAGAATCTTTGTCTTCTTGACTTTGAGCCTCAATTCATATTGAGGCTACAGTCCTTGACCCTCTGCAGCAGGTGCTTCAGGTCCTCCTCAGTTTCAGCAAGCAGGGTTGTGTCATCTGCATAACGGAGAGGTAAAGACTACAACATATTTATCTGATGTTGTATATATTGGGAATAATTGAACCACCTTCATTCTTTACTTAAGGAGCTCTGGTGGCTCAGTGGTAAGGCACTACACTCCCAACACAAAGGCAGTTGTTGTTAAGTGCTGTCAAGTTGAGTACAACTCATAGCGATCTTACACACAACAGATCTGAACCCTATCCCATCCTCACAATCTCTGACACACTCGGCTCTCTGCTACAGTCACTGTGCCAATCCACCTGGTTGAGGGTCTTCCAGTCCTTTGCCTTCCCTCCACCTTTCTAAAGTCTGATGTCCTTCTCCAAGGAATAGCCTTTCCTGTTGACCTTTGTTGGACATAGGTATTGTAGATTTTAGTGCATTTTGTTGCAGTATTTCTCTGCTATAATGGTTTTACCCAGATTCAACACAAAGGTATGTGGATCAAATCCACCAGCTGCTCCATGAAAGAGAGATGGGCAATGTCCTGTCATGTGATTTACTGCCTTTGAAAAATCACTAGAAAGTCAACTGTGGGTTGGTTCCAACTGAGCGGAACAACAACAGTTCTTGGGTTAGAACAAGACAAACTGTAAACCCCTACCAAGTAGATTAAATGGTGACTCTAGTTTCTATCCTCTTGCATCTTATGTCCCTTGAAAACATTCAAGGTCAAGAGATTCTGCACCAAGAACTTTAGTTTCAAAATCTTCACAGGCTGTTTTATTCTAAATTCAATTTTCCTATTCTCTGTCTTTTATAGTTATTTCATTAGTCTCTATCCTTCTTTTCGGGTGATAGGCTTGTATTTCAACAGCTCTTTAAAAATCGTCTTGATTTACTGTTGTACACTGAATTAGGAAGCATTTGCTAAGAAACCAATACAGGGCAGGTGCTGCACTGAAGTCTCCAGATACACAGGACAGGTAAAACACAGTCCCCTCTGCTCTCAGGAAACTTACCATCAATGGGGTAACAGGCTTATAAACAAAGTCTGTACACTGCATGATGAGTACTATTAGAGAAGAAAGCAGGTGGGGGGGCATGCTTGGAGCTCTGTTAACTCAGAGTAGACTGGGCTGGAGAAGTGTGGGGCTGAAAATGATCATTTGGGAGATCCTACAGTAATCAGAGGACAGGGCAAGGCTCAGATCTGTTGTTCATAGGGTCACGAAGAGGCACTGTTGACTGGACAGCACCTAACACTACAGCAATTAGAAAGAGAACTCGGATGGCCTAGTGGTAAAGAGTTGTACTGTCAACTCTAGGGCAGATGGTTTAAATCCACCAGCTCATTGGGAGAAAGATGGGCAATCTCCCCACATATGACTTACAGCCTATGAAAACCTGAACTAGGAGTTGGTTCGGGATCTATAGCATATCCACCACTACAACCACCAAAGTAACATGGGCAGGTCAGGATGGGAGTCTGAACTCTATCTCAAAAGTTAAAAATGTGAAGATGGTAAGGAAAAGAAAAAAGAACCAAGAGCACCAATAAAGTGAAGAGTCAGGAGGCGGGGGCACACACTAAGAAAAGCTGGAGTTTCGTATTCCAGGACAAATGCTGGCGCTGCACAGAAGATGCTGGAGCCAGAGGAGGAGAATCTATGGAAGTGGATACAGAGTGGGGCAGAGCTGGAAGTGTCAGTGGGAAACCCGGGCGTGATGCCATCAATCAGCTTCCGAGGATTCAGGATTGATTTGCACCTGTCACTGAAACGATTTCTGTTTGTAAAATGGGAAGAAAGGGAAAGAAGAGTGAGGTGTGACAAATCCGTGATCAAATCACTGGCTTTGTGCCAAGGCCAGATTTCTCCAGCAGGTTCTTTTTCTCTGAATAATCTGCACGTTATTTGTAACAGAGAGCGACTCTGTCTTACTCTGCTTTTGACTCATTATCAGCAGCTGGCTAAGTGAGAGTCTGTGCTGAAAAGGCAGGTACAGAGGACCTAATGATACTGAGAAAGAGGTCCGTGTCTGCAGACTGAGGCTGTTAGACTACACAACTGCAAAGGTAGAGTTAAACATTCACTTTGAGAGGAGTTAATTTGACATCATGAAGAATTCACTGTTTTCAGCACTGGCCGAGCATCTGAATCTAAAAAACCTTCCTGTAAGCATGCTCTTCTATTACTGGATGCCAATGGACACATTAACAATTTATTTTATAGAAAATATCTTTATTATTTTATCATCTCAATCAAAAATACTATTTCTTTTTCAGGGCTGGCCCATCAGATTTGGTCTCTGGACATATTAAATACATCAAAATTGTGATCAATCTTAACAGTACATAGAAATATTTGAACGATAAGAAACACACGGATTGTTAACAATAGAACAAGATCTCCAGAGCTTGACAGTAAAACCAGGGAAGCATTTCCAGTGATCAGGTGGACCAAACCATGGACCATCTAACAGAGAACACACTAGAAGCATGGTCAGAACATTTTACATTATGTCCTAATTCTCAGTACACAGTGGAATGAGGCAAGCACAACCTGTGAGAGCAGCTTATACAAACCATCGCTTCTGTCTAGAGAAAAGGTCTTTTGCTGTACTGCAATCCCAGAGGTACACGGTTCAAATCCACCAGGTGCTCTGCCGGAGGAGGGACAATTTCCTCCTGTACCAGTCAGATCTGATTTGACAGTACATGCACAAAAAATAATAAAATAAAAAAATTAAAAGAAAGAAAAGGTCTTTTGGGTATGAGGCTTGTGATACCCAAAGTGTCCTGAACTTCTTGCCCACACGACCTTGACTCGTGGCTTAAGGAGAAGACAAAGGCAGGAAGTATCTAGCTTTGACTTTTGAGAAGGTGCAGCACCAGCTCTTCATCCTCTGCTAAAGACAGGCCTGTATCCAAAGGTTGTAAGCTCTCCCACTTGGCCTTCTTTCGACTGTGACTTGGTGATCCTGCGTCATCTTCTATGTCACTGCTGTTCCTTTTCTTCATTCCCTGCTGCTTCTTGGTATCACTGCTGGGAAGAAACCCAATGATTGATTTTAAGAGATTGAAATTCATTATCATGAAATTAAAGAGGTCAAAATAATCAACAAGACACAGTGGTGATCCACAATGCAGGGTTCCCTGCACACTTTGTGCCGTTTGATTTTCACAATAATTTCTAAGAGGCAGGAAAATCGATCCACCAGCTGCTCCACTGGAGAAAGATGGGCAATATCTTCCCATGCAATTTATAGCCTCTGAAAACTCAATGCAAAGTCAGCTATGAGTTGGTTTTGAAATGATGGTACATAACAACAACAACAACAAAAACAAAAATATGGATAGATTATCCCCAATTTAAAGATGCTGGGTGGCCTCAAAGTTTAAATTTAAAGTTAAATTATCCTTTCGGTAACATACACCTGGTTAACTTATCACATGGTACTGGGTACTGATTCTATTACATTCAATTTGGATATGCAGATCACAAGTAAAAAAGAACTTGAAACATTAAATTATTAATTGCTTAAAAGCTTACATTTATATTACCATTTAAAAATTCTTATTGGATACACACATATACTATTAAACCAAACCAACTCTGTTGCTTTAATTTCCACTCATACCAACCCTCAAGGACGGAGCAGAATGGCCACATGGGGTTTCCAGGGTACACCTCTATGAGAGCAGATGTCCTATCTTTCTCTCAGAAAACACACTGGTGGACTTGAACCACTGGACTTGTTAGCAGATGAACACTTGAACAACCTAAAAATAATTGCACTACTCTAAGGCATAAGCTTTAATAGTAAAGCTGATTTCTGAAGGAAGAGAAAAATCATTTGACAGACTACAAATAGAAAAGCAAAATAACATAATAAAGTCATTTTGAAATACCACATTCATACATGACCTGATTATTGGATAAATGATTAAGACAAAAGGCAGCTAAATTTATGACGGGTTTACAAAGGGTTTGATCAAGACGCTAGTGGCACAGTGGATGAATTAAGTGCAGGGCTGCTACCCAGGTCAGTGGTTTGTATCCACCAGTTTCTCCACAGGAGAGAGATGAGGCAGTTCTCCTCTGTTTCCTTCGCAGAGATCACATTTTTTAATCTTCATGGAAACACTGGTGTAGAGAGAACCTTCATTCTACAATGATGTTAAGAAAGGCTAAATGATTTGCCTCATGTTACATGGGATTCTAACTCAGACCCAAATGACTCTAAATCCATCTCTAAGCCCAGTTTGTTGAGAATAATGCTAGTTGATTCCCTGAAGTCAACATTCAGATGAGTGTAACGGAATGAGTTAGTAGTAGAAAGAAAGAACACTGGTTCCAGAGCTGACATATTGTCAGACTTGGGTCAGTCAATCTATTGTTCTCAATTTTCTTTTTCATAAAAATGAGGATTATATCCTTCACTCACACAGGTAAGGTGGGAAATAAATGCAATTAAATGAGAGCACACAGTAATGTTCAATACCTGTCAGTTTCCTTTCTTCCTTTCTGTCTATAATAGATGCCTACACTGACTTTATGTAATAATCGGTATTATAAAATCAAACAATCACAGAGATATTTCATTACATTCCAAACGCAGTGGATTCTAAAAGAGAACTGTTAAAGTTACAATGGACCCAATCACTCTTTAAGAAGACAGCCTACATAGCAAAGTGAATGTGCCTAATCAGCATATCCATTTATGATCAGAAGTAAAACTCTATGTACAATAATTCCGTGCTCACCTCCCAGAAGTGCCCAGTGCTCTGACTCAGCCATTCTCTCTCCCCTCTGGAGGAAAGGCAGACTAAATAAATGACACCACGAGGTTCTTTAAACCCACGAGTAACCACATTTTAAAAGGCTGCCTGGAGAGATGAACATGAAAGAGTTCTCTGTGATGGGAATTCAGTCAGCAAAGGATTAAAATAGTTTTCAGTCTGAAAGGGACTTAAAAAAAATATATATATCTCCTTAATCTGCTTATGAGTCCTGCCAGCCCTGTGCTAATTCTACTGGGCAGCAGTGCGGTGATTTATTTGGTCCAGTGCTGACTTCAGATGCGTCTCAGAACAGGTCATCAGAAATGACCTCATCAGTGAGTGCTATTAATGCACCTTTGTTAATACTCAATTCCTTTCAGGAAATAAAGTGGTTCAAACGATAAAAGGAAGATGGGGAATTTGTGTAGCCCATGTATATTCACTGTTAGCAGCTTATTATACCAGCTCAAATTATAGAAAGACAATATACCCTATTTTACATAGTAAATAAGGGATGATTAATTGATTGATTTATAATGAATTCATTCTTAATAAGAAGATGAATGTTCTAAAAGGCGATAATGAAATGAGCCCAGAAAGCAGTTAGTAAGCAGTGAGCAAAACAGAACCATAGTTGAGTCTTCTCTTTGGCACGGCACCAGTAGCTTCTAGTTTATTTAAACACTGATGAATCAAGCAGAAGTGTTCTGATGCCACATAGTTAACAATCATTGGGAGTTTACAGTTAAGGACTCCTTGATGGTTTATTATTAACTGCCTAAGATGGTAGACTAGGGAACTCTAGTTAGTTTCCTAAACCATATTCTGAAAGTTCTGCAAAGGGCAATCAAAGTTTCTACAAGGTACTCCACAGCAATTGTGCAGCTGACCAAGTGGATGGCAGAAAATTCTCCAAGTAACAGGTCTGCTTTTAGAATAAAAATGCACTATAGACCAGAAGCAAAGTGTAACACCTAGAACTGAGGAGAACATGAAGCATCTGCTGCAGAATGTCAAGGACTGTAGTGTTCAATATGGACTGAAGCTCAACACCAAGAGAAAAAAAGTTCTCACAACTGGACCAATTGGCAGCATCATAACAGATGGCGAGATTGAGATTGGTAACAATTTCAGCTTGCTCAGATCCACAAACAACCCTCTTGAGCCATCAACCAGGAAATCAAAAGACGAATTGAATTAGGAAAGTCTACTATCAGGGACCTCTCCAGAGTGCTGAAATGCAAAGATGTCTAGACTAGAGATTAAGTTGCCCCTTATCTAGGCCATGGTCTTGACAATTACTTGCTATGTATCAGAGAGTTGGGCAACGACTAAGGATGACAGAAGAAGAATCAATGCCTTTGGATTGTGGTACTGGAGAAGAATACTGAACATACAAGAGAACAAACAGGTTTGTCCTGGAGAGGGTGAAAACAACTGGCTCTCTGGAGGAAAGGATTCTGAATATCTGTCTCACATACTTTGGGCATGCTGCAAGGAGGGACCAGTCTGTGGAGAAGGACATCATGCTTGGAAGGGTGGAAGGACAACACAGGAGAGGAAGACCCTGGATGAGATGGACTGACACAGTGACTAGGGTAATGGGAGTAGGTGCATTAGAGATAGTGAGATTGGCTCAGGATGGGACAAAGTTCTATTTTACAAAGGGTCACTATGAGATGCAGGTGACTCAAAGGCACCTACCTAACAACAAGAACAAGGGAGCACTGGTGGCCTAATGACAAGAGCGCTGCAATCCTGAAGGTATACAGTTCAAGGCCACCAGCTATCTGCTCTGCAGGAAAAAGCTGGGCAGTCTCCTCCCGTGTGATTAACTGCCTCTGAAAACTCGTCAGAGGGTCAGCTATGGTCAGTTCCAACTTGCAAGGTAAACAACAACGTTGTTTGGCGGTAATGTGGCTCACACCATGACGAGAGGGGCCACAAACCCATCCAGAACTGAGCCTTGACTCTGCATTTTATCTTTACATCAGCCTTCTATAAGCACTGAACTCAGTGTCATGAATGATCATAATACGGATCCACATTAAGAGAATACAACATATTGGTTAATAAAGCACTTTCTAAAAAAGGGGTAAAACATGCCTCATTACTACTGTAGAAACAATCCAAGCAACCAAATCTAGTACTATAAACCTTTCAATAATCTCAACACGCTCAAACTCATTGCCAGGAAGAGATTCCCACTTTGTGATAGGCACTGGGTTTCTGAGAATCTGCAGTATAGATCTGAAGAAGAGAAGACTCTCTGCTTTCGCATGGAGTAGCTGGCAATGCATGGCTTTTTGCTTAGCTACAAAACATATTATGAACTAAGTCACCAGATTTCCAAAAACCTCTCAACAGTCTAAGAAAAGAGACCTAATTTGTAATATCTGGGGTGCCATGGTGGTTCAAGGGGTAAGTACTCAGCAGCTAAAGAAAGGTCAGCAGTTCAAACCCATCTGATGTACCACGGAAGAAAGATGTGGCACTCTGCTTCCTTAAAGATTTGTGGTTGCATGTGCCCTTGAGCTTGAACTGGCAGCTGACCCTCCAGCAGGTGTCCCAAAGCTGTGAAAGAATTACACCGGAGGAGAATGCTCATCTTTTTCCTGTGGAGCTGCTGGTGGATTCGAACCACGTGTCTTTGGGTTGGCAGTGCAACTCCTTACCCAGGAGGCCACCAGAGCTCCCTCTTAAAGATTTACAGCCTTGGAAACTCTATGGAGCGGTTCTAGTCTGTCCTGTATGTCCACTAGGAGTCATGTCCACTTAACAGCAGGGGGTTGGGGACTTTTTTGTCTTGTCTGTTAGTGTATCATGCTGAAAGCTAATGCGGTTTTTTAAAAAGAGCTCACATTACACATCATGTAATATGTAATCAAACCTGACACTAACAGGGAAATTTTACTTCAACAGTTCTGAAATTTTAGTAAAAATAGGCATACAAAGCTTGTTACAATACTCAAATATATAAGCCAAACAATTTACCCACTGCTAATTAAGGCTCAAATCCACCAGCTGCTCCAAAGGAGAAAAATTAGTAAACTCCTGTATGATCTGCAGCCTCCAAACACTCGCTGGAGAATCAACTCTGAGTCAGTTCTGATTTGATGACAATGACTTGAGTTGTGAATCAAGGGGGAGAAAACCCCCAAAAAGCAGTATGTGCCAATTTTAAAATCTTTTAAAAATATTAGAAACTGAGCTTCCAATAACCTATCATCTTCTATACTCTCTAATCTCAAACCTCAA